GGCTGGGTCCACGCAGGGAGCCTGGCAGACTCTCCCCTGGCAGCTATTTTGGAGGGGTTAATCGGTGTCTGCAGCGATGGCGTCAGGAGGCCAGGCAGCGGGGACACGCGAGGGCTTTCGTTCCTGCTCGTGCTCCGCTTGCGGCAGCCTTCAGTGAGGAAAAGCAGCTCTGGGGGAACGTGGATGTGTAATTACTGCCAAAGCAGCAGCCTGCTCAGGGAAACGGGACAGCGCTGCCGCCTTTGCCACGGGCATACCGAGACACAAATGCAAGGAGTTCACAGGCCTCAATTCACTAGTTACCGTGGGAGAGAGGAAGAAGTGGTGTGCTGCGGCAGCCGTGGGTGAGGATGGTCCTGAGGGGCAGGGGCACAGCACTGCTGGCAGGGGCTGAGCGCCAGCGTAGCGCAAGAGCTAGCGTAAGGGGATGACAGGAAAGCAGATGCAAACTCCCCTGGGAAAAAGAGCTTGGGATTGAGGGTGCGGGCACAAGCGTGCAGGGTGAGCTCAGGGCTGGGGTGGGAGGAGGGGCTGGATGGAGCTATCAGAGCTCCTGCACAGGCTCGTGCACACTTGTCTGCGCTGGACCTTCCTGCCACCCTACTGGGGACTCGCAGCCTTGGCCAAATACCCCTAACCATGAGAAAAAGACGCTCTCTGCAAAGTCTGAATAGGCATCAAACCCCTCAGAGACAGCAAGGCACAAACTCATCAGCCAGCCACAGCCACGCCGAGCCCATGGCCCAGTCCTGTGCTTGCCTCTGTTGGCTCACAGGGCTGCTGGGCTGTGCAGCTGCTCTGACATTGGATGCAAAGTGCCAACGCGGTGAGAAGTGATAGCCCTGAGCTGACTTCTGCCACAGGGACGGTCGAGCATTGCTTTTACAGGCAGAAATTAATCCCTGGCTTTGCAGCGCTTGCATATGAAATCCAGATGAGCCTGAAGATAAGGCAGGCACCACCGTGAGCTGTGCAACCGCTGGTCAGCGCTAACCTCCCCAACACGCACACACCTGTGCGCGCAAATCAGCGCACATCCCCCAGCCCGCACAAGGCGCGCACACACACATGCAGAGAAGAGCGCATCAGCACGCGATTGTGCACAGCCGCAC